AGACCACCCTGTTGAGCTCCGCCCGAACTAGGTAATTGAGTGGGTTCAGGTCAGGGGACATACTTTAATATTACATCTTCATACAGCGTACGAGACGCTTTCCATTCGAAGTAAGCGGGAGTTTTTCCAAAACCCTTCGATTCCATGTGGTGGCACCCAAACCTGTAGCAGCACAAGGTCTCCAAGAAGGTACGGGCGACCACATGTAGGGAGGATATCCTTCTCGCCGGTGTACTGATGTAACCGCCAGCTCATCTTTCAGTCGGGGTCTACAAAGAAACATATCGGTCTTTTCCATTTCAGGTAGGCGCGGTCACACCATGCAACCCCGCGCCTTGGTGAATGGGGTGAAGATGATTGTCCTAGACCGTAGCGACGTTGCCGGAGCTGCTCGATGTTTGAGGTCTTGCAGATCAAGAGTACTGGTCTCCAGGTAGCTATCCATGGGTGATTCCATTCAAGAAGTTCCGCAGCTGTTTGGAGGCCACGTGAATTCCAAAGGCGTTCTCCACTCAGGCCGCGACTGGAGATGACTTCATATTTTGGTGTACATGAAGGTGAATGGCGGCAGCCGGCTCCTGCTTATAGAGGAAGATCTTGGGTATCTTCCGCCCTGGTACTCATATCCACTTCCTCTGTCTGGGCTGCGAAAACTTCGCTCATATGTGACTCGGCCGGAATGACTTTTTTTTGCCCCCCCCCCCTGTATACTCCGGTACGCTGCTGACGTGCGTTTCAGGCAGTATGTGCGACAACAACTGGTAGAAAATGAATGATACAAGCGATATGGTACAGCCTTGACACTTGATCGCTTCATTAACTGGTGGAGAACGGATTTGCCACTCCGCCAGACTCATCCCTCCTGACACGCCTCTTCTCCGCAGCGAAGTGCTACAAGATTATCACTAAAAATGCTTCAGGATGCCGATACGAAGGGCTCTCACGGGTAGGTTTGGGTTCGTTCCTTGAGCACTTCCTTCACAGTAGGTGAGCGAGAAATAGAAAGGACACTCTTTTTTTGTATTTCGCATGGAAAGATTTCAAATGAACGGATCGCTCACACTACAATGCGTGCCGTGAAGGTCTGACGCCTTATTTTTTTGCTTTTCCACAAAGGGGCATTTTGAAGGAACTCCATGATACCATCAAGTTCGTCAAACCAGCAAATAGCATCGTGTCTATAAGGCGTCGGTATACTTGTTCCATCGCCCCTTCAACAGTCCCCGCGATAAAGTGTCATGGATAGTTGCTGTTCAATTGTGAAACAGTAGCTGATAAGTAATTCCCCAAAGAAGAAAAAAGCAAGAAGAGTCCCAAGAACACCATAAAAAATCGCTCCCTGACAGTCACACCGCCCTGCGGTCTCTGTGCAACCCCTGGCTCACAAATCGCTTTTCGCATCTCCCAGTAGTAAATATCATCCATGCGAAAGAAAAGAATACGAAAAACGACAAAAACACCGACGGGGAACTCGTGAAAAAAGCTTTCAAAAACTTGACTACGAACTTAGGTTACGGTAGCGTGCATCTTTTAGTGCGTCGAGCTTTTGCACCAAGAAAATTGCATCATTCGTGATTTTTACGCGTTTTACCTTGCGAGATGGGTTGCAGTTGACTGCTCCTAATGAATAAAATGTAATAAAGGAGAGCAGAATTATTCATGGGCACGAGCGCGGTCAGCAAAAAGGACATGCAATTCCGATTAATGCCCGCCGCCCCAACAAAGAACAACTGAGCGGCCCTCGTCAGAGGGCATCTAGCAAGTGGGCGGTCCAACTGAGCGGGCGTTAGAACTAGAACTTTTAGCGGCTGTACGCTCCTCGCTCGCTGTGGAGTCGCGAGAGTGGGACAGTATCTAAGCTTAGGGGTTGGACTACTACAAGAAACGGAGACCATTAATACATGAGCGCGGGGCTGTCTTCAAGTCTGAATAGAAATCGAATTTTTGAAAGGTGTGTTAGAAGCTCGTGACTTGTATAACATTCTTGAGGAGCTTTCGACATATAATGCCTTCGTCAGGCCTTCAATTACAATTGCTGAGCATATAACAGCTACAACAAACATTGAGATACATTAAGATCTTTACATACCACCGTAAAAAGAGATCAGAGGGAACGAACCTAACGGAGGGGCGACTCGGCCACAAATGATCTGCGCTGATATTTGAGCTATATGGGAGTACAATGATTAAGGCGGTGAACCTCAGGAGGTCGCATAGTTCCTTTTTTTGCATATCTCTGGTTTCACGCGGAGTATCCCGGGCCTTCATTATTTTCCTTTCCAACAGCCGAACCAAATGTCTCTGTAGCTAAGACTGGGGCTCGCAACCATCGCGTGTCTAAGCATATCGGTGCTGAGAAAACTGTGCTCTGGCAGATGAATGGCGGGGGGTTTTTCAACGCTCTTCTGGTGCTGCCAGTCGAGTTTTTCAAAGCAGTCGTGTGGCTTCCCGGACGTTCCCCCCAATGCGTCCTGGCACTGAATAGATGAAGCGAGTGCTTCAAGTTACCAAATGCTTATCAGATGTATGTCTGACATCCAATTTTAAATTCTATGAAAATGTTAGGAGGGAATTTCAGTGTGCGAGAGTGAGGAAAACAGTGACGAATGGGAATATGTAGTTTTACGGCACGATCCACACTCACCGCGCTGATTTTTTTCGCAAATCAAATCGAAATGAAATAGTAGTGTCCAAAAAGCTAAGCAAGGGTCCCACAGAACGAAGAATGCTTTATCGAATTATATAGAACTTGCTAGCAAGAATTTCGTCTTATGATAAAATTCAAGTTGGCATTCCGTGCTTTGAAGTTTCAAATTATTCTTGAGCTCTGAGTTTTGCGGAGAATGTGCAGTTTCAGTGTAATTGCACTTATAAGAACAGCTGTTTCCCAGTAAAGTGAAAAAAGACGGCGTTTCTAAGACATGAGTCCTACGCAGTAATTGAATGGGGAACAAAAAGAATGGGTGAGGTGAAATTGCTTTGACATTAGACGAATCACCAACTGGCATTGAAGGCTGTTTCCGCAATTGAAATTCGAAGTCGATTTCCTTTTTCTATCTGCAAGATGTTTGAAATGTGTAATTAGAATTGGGTAAGGTGGAGGAAAGAAGGGCAAAGGCTTTGGAGGGGTCTTTGCTTTGGGCAGAAGGGTGGGCATGGAGCGAAATCATCAGTCCTTACTAGTTCGCGCGGCCTCAACTCGTTCCCGAGTAACTTTTTCTAAGCGGTAAAATAAAAATATGGGGAAAGGTCATTTTGACCTACCTCTACGTGATACTTCAAAGCACCATCATACAAATGTGGCGATGACTTGCGTCAAAGAACTAATCATGGTATGCAGGGTACGCTACCATGAGCAGGTATAACTATCATTCTAGCGCCTCAGCGCCAGCAGGAGGAAGCGAGCAGCTTGGGTTGCTTTCAAGAACATCTAAGAAGCTTAAAAGAAAGAGAAGGCCCGGCTCTATGCTCACCTTTAGGATTCCAAGTCTTTGGCTCCTTGATGTAGCTTACGCATCGAAGACTTGGACTCTACGAAGGCACAGTGAGGCTAGCGTTATTCAACACTCGCCGTCCGAAGTGTGATGCCGCGAGCAACAACAAGTGACGAGAAGAACGGTCGAAGCTCCGACTGAGTGAACAATCCAAGATCAGGCGCAGTGACATTTTGCAAGGATTCGAAGATTAGGGTGGACCGTACTTTGTTCGTTCTCGGGAACGTTTGCGTCACAGCTTGCCCGCGATGGATTCCGGGAGGCGTCAGATGAACACCTGCAATTGCCTACAAGAATAGGTCAGGCATCTATTGTCTTATAGCGAGTATTTTATGCTGTTCATCGTGTCCGAGACGACGAAAACCAAATGAGTAACCCCTTACCCCTTACTGGCGCTCGCTCGAACAATTCGACGATTAACTTGGGTAAAGGTGATACACGTACAGGTGAGCAGCCCGAAACCAACCGGATAAAGGTATGATGCCAACTCCCACATGACTGATCCAAATGGACTTATTTTTTTCGTCAAAAGAGTTCGCTACATAGGCTTGTGTGATCCAGCAAGAGGCTTCAAATATGGAGACTTTCGCACCTTCTCATTAGTGCTGCCACTCTTGGACCAGTGAGATCACCTCCGACCAAAATCAACCCGTACAATGATGTAGATAGCGCGAAAGCGAAGATGGACTATGTACCAATGAGGAAGTTACCTGCTTGCTTCACCAAACTATTCGGTCAATCCGTCTCTTGAACAAAAACCTCTCGAGATGTCACCAGTAGTCAAGCAGACTAAAAAAGCAGCTCAAAATACCGTTCTCGGAAAATGGAGACAGCTCAAAAAAGTAGAGAAGGATGAATCACCACATCTCCCGTTCCCTCCCTCGCTTTCCTCTTAACATGAACCAAGCAAAAGTGATGTGGTAACTATTGGACCATTTCGAGCTTGAAAGCGTTAGGGATGTGCATGTATTCATAGCTTAGCCGGTGTAAAGGCTACTTGTTTTTTCTGCAAATTACCTAACCTGGAATTTGTGTGAGGCTTGCATGCATGGCCTACAAAGAACTTGTCCAAATGTGTCCACAAAAAACTTGTCCAGTTGCGGGGCATGCGGTAAGGCAATTTCCCTACCTTAGCGTTTTTGTAGAAGCATGTAATTAGAAATCGTTTTAAGTAGGTCCTCACTTTCGTTTTTCGGTTGGTTAGGAAATGATTTTGTAGTCTGTTACACACTTTTCAATTTCTGATCTACTTCAAGGAATTCGCTGTTTGTATGGCTCAGTGGTCCTGCTCACGTTAGAATACATCCTGAATTTTTAGTAGATTTTCTATTTCTCTCAGATGAATGAATGCGACTGGAAGCGTGTAGAAGATTAAGATCCATCATGGGTATCTCGGAGCGAATCTTGCATTAATTTGCATACACCCGAACGAATTTCAAAAATTTTTTATTAAACAAATTCAGTGAATCACAAGAAATCCGATGAAATGTCATATGTGCAAAACATTCAATGGTGCTTACGATGCATACGTCTACGAGCACTACGAACACGGAAGCGGCGGCGGCGAGCTCTGTAGCCGACCTCGTTCTCTTCCTAAATATTCATGGAGAAGTATATTCATGTCTCACGACTCGAACCAACAATATAATTGAACGAAAACGTACCACTCCACCAGCAGATTCTTCTGGGGGCCCAGGGTATGCAGCTGGTCCTGATGGAGCAGGCTGGAGTACTATAGGTGCTGGGGCCGGAGGTGGCGGTGGTGGTGGAGGTGCAGCTGCAGCTGGAGCAGGAGCAGCTACTCTGCCTTCATTATTATATGCTAGTTGATCGCCTCCAACCGCCGAGGCTGGGGCCGGAGCGGGTTGGATTTGTTCGGCTACTTCATAGCCTGAACTTTGAGAGGCAAAATTTGCTATGGCGATGCCAACAAGCGAAAGAAGAAGCAGAAGGGTGCGCATCAGGCAAAACCTGAATTTGGACAATTAAAGCAATGCCTTAGTACTCCTTCATGAAAATTCACGTAAGAAGTTTCATTTATCACGTCTAATTCGATAAAGGAGGAGAAATAGGGAATAATATGCTTAAAACTGAATACGATTGTGGTCGAGAATGCTGAGAGGGATACAAAAGGCGCGAACTCAGGGTATATATACAGTGTGACGGGTTACAATTAAGGTCGCTTACGATACCGGTTTTCAGTGGGCCTTTTTCTTCGCACTTTAGCGCACCTTGGAATGGTCGCCGGTCATCGCTCTTGTCTTTTTCTAACCTCAACGCAAGTGATAGAGCAAGCGATAGAATGATAGAGTAACATTTTCCCAGCGCTAATCAGGTGAGAATTAATGTGTGAGAAGAAGCAAGTGTTTTCGAAAAAGAGGTCTAGTAGTTGACGAATTGAGAGCCAACCACTGTGTCGGATTCAGTCCCCTTTTTGGGCATGCATCCACGGTCAACTGCCTAGATTGTCGGTTTTGGTCGGGAGAATCGCAACCTCCCTTGACGACCGATTCATGCCCAGCTCAGCTACAGCTAACAAAATAATGAAGCTTCTACCGAATACCAATACTTTTCAGAACTCAGCGGTCCGTCTTGGAATCGTATTGGTTCACGGAATACGATCTGGCCGTTACAATGACCTGGGGAGGGCAGTTATTGTATTGCGATTTATCCTACCACACAAATCTTATACGAATCCTGGCGTCATCAAGAACTACTCGGGAGGCCTTGACGTCCTGGGAACACCGATCCAGGATTTGACACAGACTTCAGGCGTAGCCATTTGTAGTCATACTACCCCGCTTAAGTAAGTTTCACTCAACCAGAGTCTTCACGATATGGTGAGAGATGCGAATCTTTTCCCACAACTGTTCACCCACTCCTTGTGCTTTTCACTGGCGGAGATTCATTGTTTGGGCAACTGACGCAAATTGATTCCATTGCTTTTTACCGGGATTCTTTTTTCAACAATAGTGGAACCAGTCTAAATGACTTAATAATATTGACGGAATCGGTGAAAATTTTAAGATCCGCCGTTGGTTTTTTCTATTATTTTAGATGACAGATATTCTACCACTCGAAGACAGATTAAACGTTAGTACGAAGTTCATTTTGAAAACTCTGACACACCTCACTCATCTGACTGACAAAAATTATTTCTAGTAATCATTTTTAGTAATAATAGTAATTCTGCTGCTTTACATGTGAGAACGAACTCACATGCGACAAAAAGTGAGCTCGAGCGAGCGAGTGGAGCAAAATTCCAAGCAGATTTTTTTTCTCAAATCTAGTGCGTTGTACGAAAAACCATAATGTAGGTTTACATCAAGAAAGTAATCGAGGCAGATTCCGGGATTGCCTTGTAGATCGAGTTCCTCTCTCAGAAGAAGTTCGATCCGGGGTCTCAGGTTGCCCCACTTACACAACTCAGCTATGAGTAACGCGATCGTAGTAAGCTGGAGCACCCGTGGAAGGTGCCTCCCCACCTAGGGGCGAGACACGGCAGTCGCCTACTCGAGAAGCGGAACTGTGATGCGCTCTGGTCATTCTGAGAAGGGCAACCTTGTTACCACACTCGTCTCATCTTCCTGTTCCCTGTGGTTGGCCTCTTGCCCGTGCACTAGTATCTCGCTTCTTCGAAAAATCGTACAGCGATCGGGCCTTAATCAAGGGACCTTTGACGGTTGCGACCATATCATCTCTCACCATTCACTTTCAGAAAACCGCTAATAAATGAGAAAAAGTAGTTCGAACTGAGATTGACAGGGTAAACTTTTGATCCTTATACGAATCAACTGGTCTTATGAGGGTGCGCTGTCAGAAATCTCTGCGCAAGCGTGGTAGGTACGTATGTCGAACCCATGATTTCCTTCAGGGCTCGAATCCTATTTTACGATAGAAGCAATGCGCTGCAAGACAACATTGGTGTAGCAACAGGCAAGTTCTTTTGTTCCGTAGTTCCCGTGGAATTTGAATCTACGTAGTTATGGGATGGTTGAGGGTTCTAGTTAGTGTATTCCATTATCGGCTGATGGTCTTAAAAACACGGTATCGGAATGCTGTCGTATTTCTTGCGCCTTTTGCAAGGTTAGATGGCTTCACTGGGTCTACGTTTCGGCATCTTCGCCTTCGTCAGAGCCGGGAATGGACAAAAAAACAAACGTGTCTCGTCCCCTCAAACGCATCCTTATCGTTACGCATCGCATCACAGGTAAAAGCCAGGGTGGTTATCTTACCCTCCAGTTGAGCTGACTCTGTCTACCATAACTCTGTTTTTCTATATAGCTGGACTGTTTGCTAGTGAATTTTTCTTGAGAGTAAATGATGTGTCACAGAATGCGGGAATCACATTCATTTTTGCTCACTTCGAAATCTGACGAAAGCGAAGACGCCCAGACAAAGGTCTGATAAAGCCGTCCAGCCTTGTGAAGGTTAAATACGACAGCAATATTTATTACGTTAGCGGACCCCGCCACCAAGTGGGACAAACACTGGAGAATAAGAGGAACAAGATATCTGTCAAGTAAAGGTTGCAAGAATGTCGTACATGGATCAATCGATATCTGAATGTAGTGTCTTTGATGCGAGGTTTTCTTTTCAAAAGCAAGCTTTACACTCACATCCGTGGATTCTGACCTTTGTCATGTACGAGGTGAATGAGCTCACAGATTGCAGTAGTATGCCACATTCTCGCTCAAAAGTGCACGGGAGCAGGGCTGAGGGTAGTGATTCGTCCCCATGCTCGCGCTGCCGTAGGACCAGCCACTCGTCCAGCCATATCCAAAAGCGCAAATTAGCTGATCCTCTCACTTTCGGTTGTTCTCTACTTGTGACTGCAAGTTCGCTACGGTGCTTTCATAACGATGCAAGTGCTGCATCTTGTGGATAGCGTGGGCGGAGTGTGAACACAGTACCCTCCAGCTCCTTTTCCATGCCCTTTTGGACAGAGAAAGTGGCACGCTGCTGCAGCTGCGGAGCAATTCACTTTGAACATGGCAATCACATCCTTAGAGGTCAGCGCACAATCAGCCTTTCAGCAGAGTACTATGACTTTCGTTGAAACTGGGTGGGCAATGGGAGTCCTGGTCACCAGGACACTTCCGATAAGGTGCAAAAAACAAGTAAATGACATACGGTATAATTTTCTTCTGAAGCTGGTCAAGGTAGTATCCCACTTGGGAAGTAAACAAGGTGCAGAAGGGAGAAGATGAAAATGGCAAGTAAAAAGCAGTGTAACTGAAGAGAAAACCTTCTTCGACATTGGTGAATTCCTAATGAAGGAGGGCAGTTGTGTCTTGTGTGAATGGCGAAATTTTTTTTGATGTGGCTGTCATTTTCAATTTATTCAAGAAGATCTATTCACAAGGTAGCACTGACGCAATCACGCAAACCAAATGTTAACTCTGGAATGCTATTAAGTGACTTGGCAGGTAACTGCATTCAGATGTGACTCATATAAAGCAGAAAAGCCTGATTGTTACAGTTTAATTTATTTATTTATTTATTTATTTTGCGCCCAACCGGACGCGCCACAATCAGTCAACTGATAGGGGACGCGGTAAGTGAACATGGCAATATTGACTAAGAGAAGAGAAAAAAAACAAAATAAAATAGAATAGCACAATTCAAACAGAGCCTGGAATAGAGATAACTTAGGAATTGAAGGTCCTATAGCACTGAACTAATTAATCGTAGCCTGGAACAGAGATAACTTAGGAATTAAAGGTCCGATAGCACTTGAACTAATTAGCCGTAAGGCCAGATCTTAGGAACAACCCGAACGAAAACGTTTACTTGTAACATCTACTTGTAACTAGGAAAATCAGTGACTTAACAAGCGGAAATAGATGTGGAGTTTGCTCTCATCTTCGGAGTGCATCCATCGGTCATCATAACTGAAGGGAACGGCATTGCACGCCAATTTGCAGCCCTAGCGTAGGATTTCTGTAGGGCTTTTAGATGCTCTTTCCATCTTCGACTGCTAGATCCATATTGCCTAGGGAGAAAGCAACATTCACTTCGAAATCAATTGCTCCCCAACATCACTACAAAGGCAAAAACGTTTTCAAATGGCCACACGTGTGTTGGACAGGCAGAACGCTTCGAAAAACATGGCTGAAACCGAGAAAGTCACCTTGTTCAGTCTCGTGGTGTGACTGTTAGCCTGATGTTTTCTTCGAATTAAAAGTTGTCATTTGTCAAGCGGCTTACAGTGTCACTTGTGACATAATCTGATGTATAGGCTACGAGGCTCTCGCACAGCGCTGTATATCCAGTTGTGTGTAAACTCCCGGGATGTGGTACGCGTGGCGAGGACTGTGCTTCCGGTGAGTTATTTTCATTTCGGTAGAGTCGTAGTCATGACTCTGTCCAACCAATGTACAGCATCGTTGTGTGAGGGAGTCGTACTTTTCGGCTGGGGAGGGCGGTGTCGTATTCGGTCGTTGCTGGGAGAGAGGGGGGGGGGGAGATATGTGACTTTGAGAAGAGGTTGCCACGCGGAACAAAATTTTCCCTGTTGTAGACTTTTCCTGCTTCATAGGTACTATGAACCTCCCCTCCTCCTCCCTCCCACCCTTCCCCATATAACTTTCTGGGGGTAAAGCTGGGAAAATTCTCGGCGAATTCGTGGTAAAGTGGTGGGGAAAATCTGAGAAATTTCCCCACTTCACATTGGCTATATACCCTTCCCCACTCGAAGGAAAATCCCTGGGTAAAAAACTGTGCACCACCATCTCACCCTCACGATGTCGTAATGTCGTACCCTGTGTCCGAACAAGATGGCGATGGTCTCAAAGTGAAATCTCGAAAAGTGATCCATATCCGTGGCATGTTTATCACATTGAACGCCGCGCAAATTGTAGGCAATACACGCGCATACTCCTCGCGTTTGTGTATTGCCCACAATTCACGTTTTGTGGGTCGGTATTTTCGTGGATAATAGTGCGACTTGAACCATTCT